TATTTTTAGCATATTATAATTTTACATTAAATCGGAACAGATCAAAAAATATATAACGGGAAAGGCAAACAACATGTACTTTCCTCACACTTTCAAATTCACATATTAGAATAAATGCATTCGAAAATAGTCATGTTGTTTTTCTAGGAAAAGACTTTAAATAGATAATAATCTATTCAGCCCGTCTCATTTCTTTGAATTGGGTAATAAAAGGGAATTGGTCTATTCATAGAAATGACTATAATTGTAACAATATATTGTATTGTATAAATTGTATATGGGTTGTAGAGAGTACCGTTGCTGAGCAGCCGCTGAACTTTCGACCCAAAATTACTACCTGTCCGAATGTAACTGCAGTGATATTCCAAATCTGCATACACAATTGTCGGCAAATGCTTTGGTAACTGAAACAGCCTCTTGATTTGGTAACGGCACAGCTTCTGTCCATTTGGTAAAACAGTCGCAAAAAGTCAAAACAAACTTATTGCCCGATGTCGACTTTGGTAGTGGTGCAAAAATGTCAATTTATATTCGCTCGAATGGTTCTCCGACTATGTAATTATTCCATTGATGGTTTCTTAGCTGCACACTGTTTACACTACGTGTATTGTAATATTGCTAATCGTTGTAAGAGATCTACATTAGTCCACAAGGAATCACGGGGGGGTAGCCTTCAACATTAATAATCAAATAGGGGTAATCACGGGTGGTAGCCTTTAATCTGTAATCTTTAAGACTTTCCAAGAAATTTAACGCTGTTGTGGAATAAAGTACTTTTAGATGGTTTCAGCCTCAAGTTAGTATCACCCAATCGCTGTAATACGTTTTCTAAACGCAGCATAGTTTTTTCAAACCAACTTCCAGGTACAATTATATCGTCCATGTACAAGAAACATTCTTCCCATTGTAGACCTCTCAAGCCATCCTCCATTAACCTTTCGAATGTTGGTGGGAAATTCGATAGACGGTTCCATTCCAATTGCCAAAACCCCTAAAACATACCAAGGCAACAGAACCAAGACATGCCGTGCAATGAATCGATACATTCATCTATTCTTGGCAATGGGAATGCGTCTTTTATGGTGACATCATTGAGTTGCCGATAGTCCACACAAATCCTGTAACTGGAATCTTTTTTCTTGCCCAAATTGATGTTAAAACTCCAAGGGCTGCTGGATGGTTCTTCTCGTTCAGCCTCTCTTTTCTCAAGTGGTAAGATGCATGGTTGTCTGATTGGTGCTGCATTAGCTGTATTTATCCGATGTTGAACCATATGTGTTCTACCCAAATCGTCCGTTGATTCTGCGAAAATGTCTTGGTACTTACACAGGAGTGTAGCTAGTTTTATTTGCTGGCCATAACTGCTGGATACGTCGATTATAGAGATCTCCCAAATGATCAGGGATTACCAATTTGTCTTTGCTATCTCCTCCACTAATATGTCGGCAACTGACAGTATCCTTTGTAGGTTCGATGTTAACTGCTTCAAAAGTGGCTAATCTAGCGTGTGGATACAGCATTACTGGTTCGTCTTGATAAATCATAACTTGTATGTCTTTTGGGTTAACATCCATGTTTATTATGCCTAGAGTGATTGCGAGTCTATTTCCCAAATGTGTTGATGTTTCTAACAGTCCTATTTTACTGCAATTCTTCGAATATGGAGTAAATATATTTATCATCTGGATGGACTGTGGTGGAATAGTAACTGTCTCTACGGAGTGAACTGAACTTGTTTCTCTATATATGCGCATTCTTTCATAATTAACTTTCTTTTCTTCTGTAGGCATTTCAAACTCTCATGGCCTATTGAGACGACGGTCTGGCGTTTCCCTGTCGGTTGTTATTATAAGATCTTGTGTTTCGATTTCCATTAGTCATAGAGCAGTCAAGGGAGGGGGGAGAGTTATTCATTAAGCCGCGCAACTGATTGCGGGCCCGCTAAGCCCTCGCAAACCAGACGCACGTCATTCGGGTCAATTCACAAAGGCAAGCTTATTAGCAAGACTGCGCAAATCAGCACGCTAATCGGAATATTGTTCTTCAAATAGCTCCCGCAAAGGCCACGCAAACGTATCACTACTTAAAAATGGTCTTGTTGCTTGCTGTAGAGGAACATGCTCGTTCGGTTATTTTGGAAGTCATCGACTTGATCGAGTCTGACATTGCTCCGCAAACTGAACGTTCCCATGCCATACCTGCTGCACTGCAAGTACTCTGTGCTCTGTGTTTTTATGGAAATTTCCAATACGTGAGCGGTTATCTTTGTGGGTTTAGCCATGCATCCGTTTCCCGCTTCGTCCACCGGGTTTCAGCAGCACTTGCAAGTAGAAGCAGGGAAATAATTATATTTCCCAGACAACAGCAAGCCCAATAAGCAGTTAAAGAAGGTTTCAGAAAACAGAAAACATGCATTCCCAATGTCATTGGCTGCTTTGATGGGAGTGTAGTGGCAATTAAAGTGCCGCATTTGAACGAACACGCCTTTGTTTGTCGCAAAGGTTTTCATGCGATCAACGTTCAGGGGATTTGTAATAATCAGCTGAAGTTTACCAACATTGTTGCAAAATGGCGTTTGCAACAAGATTTCGAAGATAAAAACCTCCGAGAAGGATGCCTGTTCTCTACGCCCTTGGCTGATAACACCGATTCCCCAACCACAGAATGAAGCGGAAACCACTGTTAACCAACACCATCGTCGGACGAGACAGAAAATTGGGAGGTGGAAAATGAGATGGCTTTGCCTTCATAAATTTGGTTAAATTTTACCGTGTTTGATCATTTCAGAATCAATTATTACCCTAAACCACCATCACCATATGTCGACCATATATTTCTTCATCATTTCGTCAGTTTATAAGTGATCCTTTACTTTCAGGTGGCGCCATGACACTTCGGCCAGAGCGATGTGTCAATGTAATCGTTGCAATAGCAGTTTTGCACAACATATGCGAAGAAAACCGGGTCCCAGTCCAACAACCCGGACGATGATCTCAACCCACCACAACCAGTTGAAATCCGAAACGACGGACTTGCTGTGCGGATTAGGATTGTAACAGAATCATTTGCCTGATCGAACCAGTACTGTTTTTTTTAATTTAGACTTTATTGTCAACAAAGATACAATCTTGGACACATGTTTTAATGAGATTCAAAACCTATAAAAAAATAATACCGTTTTAAACATATACAACATATTACTGTAATTTGTAAAATGATAAAGTCCATCTTGGAGCTGGGGGTTTGAATGTCGCTGAAATACACAATCAAAATTGGAGTCGAAAATTAGCAAAAACGTAAAAAATGGATTTTGTTCTACCTCATTTCCGATTCGAAAAAATGCATGAAAATACATTTGAAATGGGGTTTCTGGTGTTGTAAGCTAGGAGAGATCCTTTCCCGATGCTCTCCGCCTTTATCTTATGACGTAGGAATATAGACTAAACACTTCCACAATATGCACTTTAATATAGGTTGTAGCAATATACATATACACTGGATAAAGGTATAAACAAAAGTAATGTCAATCTGATTCCCTAGAACACAATAGTTACTTGGAGTATTTCCTCTGGAACCTATACCATAAAGGTTCACTAATACTGGGTATATAATCGTCTGTCTCCTTCCTAGGTCTCCCTGAATGCTGAATTTCTAACCCCCTTTATACACAGCCCTCCTTTGTCACCTACCGACAAGAGACGTGTCCAACCGTCCACTCTTTACCCAAACAAAAGGCAATAATCCCTTATCAACACTCAGGGGATACAGGGGCCTTTGTTGGCTTGTACCATTGATAAATGGCCATTGTGTCCAAGTTGCGTAATCAATAAAAGAGGATAGGCTGTACAATAGGAACTAATCCTATTGCCTTAGGCTGACCGATGTGGCAGGTTAGATAGAGTGACCATTAGTGTCACTGGACAATGTGGTATTGTGTTCTAGGGAATTATCAATTGTATCTAGTTACTAGATTACACATTCATCAAATTTAGTCTCGCGGCATTGTTAACAGTATTTATGTGGTATGTATAGTTTTGGCTGGGCAAAACATTTCGAAGAACGCACTGCAACAAACACTTACGCAATTGACACGAACCGGTTTTCGAAATATTATCCTTTACCATTAGTGTCGAGAAATATTTCTGAATGTTTGAATTTCTTTCCCATTTTTATACGCCTATATGAATATGTGGTCGTATATTATCGTCGCCCCTGTCCGTCGGTCTGTCGGTCCGTCCGTCAACATTTCTTGTGAGCACTATAGAGACTACAGTTTTTATCTGATTTTGATAAAACTTGGTGTGATGCTTTAGATTGATCAAATCTCGGTCAAGTTCGAATTTGACATATTTTCGATGAGCGGTTTTTGAGATATTGCCCTTGACTTAGAACGCCTTGAAATTTGTTAAAAACAGTTCGTGAGCAGGATTGAAGCTACAGTTTTCAACCGATTCTGATGAAACTTGGTGTGATCATTGGAATTGATAAGATCTCGGACAATTTCTAACTTGACGCATTTTCGATGAACGGTTTTTGAGTTATTGCCCTTGACTTTGTTAAAACGCGTCGAAATTTGTTAAAAATAGTTCGTGAGCAGGATTGAAGCTACAGTTTTCAACCGATTCTGATGAAACTTGGTGTGATCATTGGAATGATAAGATCTCGGACAAGTTCTAACTTGACGCATTTTCGATGAACGGTTTTTGAGTCATTGCGCTTGACTTTGTTAAAACGCGTCAAAATTTGTTAAAAATAGTTCGTGAGCAGGATTGAAGCTACAGTTTTCAACCGATTCTGATGAAACTTGGTGTGATCATTGCAATTAATAAGATCTCGGACAAGTTCTAACTTGACGCATTTTCGATGAACAGTTTTTGATTTCGGGGAAGGGAGGGTTTGATTCTCCCAAATGTACAGGCCTAGGGTGGAGCAGACACTTTATTTAGAAATTAGGATTAAGGGTCTTGATATTGGGTTTTCTTCTGTTCTTATTCTGATCTGAAATTAGAAAAAATAACTCGCCCGATGGGCGAGAAGTATAGTATCTGTTATGTACTGATTGTTTTTAGTTTACTATGAACAATATTATCATTTAAGTTCTTATTTTTTGAATATGCAACTATCATTTTCTGCTTATAGACATTGGGGAATTTCTCTTGAAGGCTCTTATAGTGGGCATGAACTATCTTGCTTGCTCGATTGCTGGTTGTATTAAACGGGACAACAAAGGGTGCTATGCCTACATTATGATGAATATTTAGTCCTATAGGTCTTGCTGTATTCAATGTCTCAATCCAATGGGCCTCCCTAGATTGACGGAATTTGGTAGTTTCATCTTCGGGCAAGTCAATTTCTATACGCTCAATTGGGATTAGGGTGAGATCGTCTATTGAATGGTCGTCGAGGTTGAAATGATTAGAAACAGGCTTGTCTTTCTTTAATTTGATGTCTGACCTATGAGCATTAAAGCCAGTTCGTAAATTATTCTTAGTTTCTCCTACATATTGTTTGGGGCATTTCTTGCATGAAATTAAATATATTACATTCGAATGTTCACATGTTAGATGTTCCTGGATCGGGTACCTTTTATTCGTAGAGTTGCTACAAAATAATGAGTTTCTGATATAAAGGGACATGTTTTGCATCTACTGGACAAACATGGAGCACTTCTTAAACCTGGAGGTACTTCGGCATAAAGTCTGTTTTAGCTGCTATCTGTGCTAAGGTGAATTGTGG